GTACGGTTACTAGTCGTAGCGATTATCTGTGAAAGGAAGGTGACTTTCTTTAATGCAAAAGATGGTTCACTCATCCACTCATTTATCAATGGACCAAATTATGAGGATGATGTCCTCCCACTTTTCTCACCCTGGAACAATGATCCAAAACCAATCACAATTTTGTCAATCACGGCAACATAAAAAACATAATTCATCACATTCCCTGTCTGTCAATAGCTTATCGTGGTATAAAGCTATGTCAATCATTTTCGATTAAATACTATAAAGAATTGTGGATTCATCAATATTGTGAAGAACGGGCGGCAGGTAGCTTAGTGGTTAAGAGCGATGTGCCAGTAATCGAAAGGTCGCTGGTTCTAATCCCCGAGCCGACTAGGGGAAAAATCTGTTGATGTGCCCTTGAGCAAGGCACTTAACCCTAATTGCTCATGTAAGTCGCTCTGGATAAGAGCATCTGCTAAATGACTAAAATGTTGTGCTCCATATTCTTTATCAATGTATTATACATTCATTATTTCAGTAGTGTATTGTGTGTGACATTAAACAAGCATTTTTGTTATAAAAAATGAAATGTTGATTTGTGAAAAATACAGAATCTTATTTGGTATCTGAATGTAGATCTATTGATGACTAGGATTGAGAGATACAACTACCTTCTACTGGCTTGTATGTAGTTGTTTTGACAAGTTTAATAATCCTCCATCACATAAAACCTTGATTATCTTTACAATGACCAACAATGCAAGCTACAGTGCATTCGGAAAGTATTCAGACCCCTTTACTTTTCCCACATTTTGTTACATTGCAGCCTTATTCTAAAATGGATTAAATTGTTTATTCCCCTCATCAATCTACACACAATACCCCATAATGACGAAGCAAAAACAGGTTTGTAGACATTTTATCAAATGTATAAAAAATTTAAAAACGGAAATATCACATTTACATAAGTATTCAGACCCTTTACTCAGTACTTTGTCGAAGCACCTTTGGCAGCAATTACAGCCTCAAGTCTTCTTGGGAATGATGTTACAAGCTTGGCACACCTGTATTTGGGGAATTTCTCCCATTCTTCTCTGTAGATCCTCTCAAGCTCTGTCAGGTTGGATTGGGAGCATTGCTGCAAAGCTATTTTCAGGTCTTGCCAGAGATGTTCGATCAGGTTTAAGTCCGGGCTCTGGCTGGGCCAATCAAGGACATTCAGAGACTTGTCCTGAAGCCTGTGTGCTTAGGGTTGTTGTCCTGTTGCAAGGTGAACCTTCACCCCAGTCTGAGGTCCTGAGTGCTCTGGAGCAAGTTTTCATCAAGGATCTCTCTGTACTTTGTTTCATTCATCGTTGCCTCAATCCTGACTAGTCTTCCAGTCCATGCCACTCAAAAACATCCCCACAGCATGATGCTGCCACCACCATGCTTCACCGTAGGGATGGTGTCAGGTTTCCTCCAGACGTGACGCTTGGCATTCAGGCAAAATAGTTCAATCTTGGTTTCATCAGACCAGAGAATCTTGTTTCTCATGGTCTGAGCGTGTTTAGGGGCCTTTTGGCAAACTCCAAGCGGCCTGTCATGTGCCTTTTACTGAGGAGTGGCTTCCGTCTGGCCACTCTACCATAAAGGCCTGATTGGTGGAGTGCTGCAGAGATGATTGTCCGTCTGGAAGGTTCCCCCATCTCCACAGAGGAACTCTAGAGCTCTGTCAGAGAGACCATTGTGTTCTTGGTCACCTCCCTGACCAAGGCCCTTCTCCCCCGATTGCTCAGTTTGGCCGGGCGGCCAGGTCTAGGAAGATTCTTGGTGGTTCCAAACCTCTTCCATTTAAGAATGATGGAGGCCACTGTGCACTTGGGGACCTACAATACTGCCTCGACACAATCCTGTCTCAGAGCTCTACAGACAATTCCTTCGACCTCATGGCTTGGTTTCTTCTCCAACAAGCACTGTCAACTGTGGGACTTTATATAGACACGTGTGCCTTTCCAAATCATGTCCAATCAATTGAATTTACCACAGGTGGCCTCCAATCATGTTGTAGAAACATTTCAAAGATGATCAATGGAAACAGGATGCACCTGAGCTCATTATCGAGTCTCATAGCAAAGGGTCTGAATACTTCTGTAAATAAGGTATTTCTGTTTTTAATTTTTGATAAATTAGCAAAACAAGCTAAAAGCCTGTTTTTGCTTTGTCATTATGTGGTATTGTGTGTAGATTGTTGAGGCTTTTGTATTTATTTAATCAATTTTAGAATAA